TTAAATCATCGGGCATTATTCAAATCCCTATTGTTTTCCCATCTGCCTGATAATTAACTATTCAGGCCTATAATATATTTGACATATATTGCTATATTCTTTGTTCATTACTAGCCTCAGGTTTCTCAGACTAATAATTTTGCTTAGTGAATGAGTATTACTGAAAGTGTTTCCTTGTGTATAATTTTCATTGTTTTTGTAGAGTGTCTACCATTTAAATCTTGTTTATTTGCATAAGTGAACATTTCCATTTATTTTATCCTAAAAGGTTTTCATATATATATGAAATTAATAGTCCTAATAATATCAGAGATTAAAAAATTATTTTATATAATATAAATATTTATATAAATAATGTTTTTATCTCTGATATTATTAGGACTATTAAATGTCCATGGAAGTTACTTATCATATTATTTCCCAAGAAGCAAATAAGCTGTCTCTGAAGTGGGTCAGAGATATAGGAATGGATTTTGAGTTCACACCTTAAGGTGTAAATCCTATTCTCAGAACAATTAGTTATTATAAGATGACCCTGTTTGATATTTACCTTCATGAAATGATCACTGAAGATACGGGTGATATAGTAAAACATGGTGAAGAAATCTAATGGTGCCTGGCTATTAGAAATAGCAACTGAGGTTTTAAAGGCTTGTTTTAAAATAACAAACAACCATTTAAGGAAGGTGTCAGCTAGCCCATGTAGAATTAACACACCTTCCTGAATGTGATCAAAGGATTTTCAATAAAATCCAGGATCAAGGGAAGGGATTGTATTAAAGCTTAAATTCAGAGCACCTATTTTGTGGGAGGCTAAAGTTACAATGAAAACGTTAAATCTATTTTTTTAATCTCCATATGTATTATGTCTCTATTTTAATTATTTCTGACCATTAACTGACTATGTGAATAGCCTGGCCCTCAAGTAGAATTCATAACAAAGTGATTTACTACCATTTCCCTAGCCAGTCCAGGGAGGACAGGCCTAGCTAGTCCTTAGGACTTGCCTGAGTGTGTCCTTGATTGGAACTGAGATATTAGCATCATATGATTATGAGTTATACCCTGACTGCCTTGGTTGGAAGGCCTTCAACCAATCTTGTAATTCTCCTATCTATCTATAATGTACATGTCCCAATTGTGGTCCCACTCCTGCTTCTGTAGTCCCGCCTGCAACTGTGATGTACTGATCTGCTGCCAGTTATGCCTTTGTAACACTTTCCTTTGCACTCCCATGTCCTATTTAAGCAGTCAGTTCTCTGGAAATATTTGGATCCCATTATGATCTCTTTCCTGGTCTTCCTCATTTGGATTAATTGTCTTTGTCTTTGTCATTTTAAAATATGTTATAAAGGCATCTCTATAAATTATATTTGGATTTGGGCCCGTTTGTTCTCTACAATAGTACAGGATAGATAGCAGCAAAAATGCCCAATAATTTTTCTGAGTGCATATAAAAGAATGATGATCATATCACAGATGTAAATGCAAAATATTTCTAAAGACGGGGTAAATAAACCCTTGCCCTGCCCCCAAATAACCCAAACTTCGATATAATAATTACATTATTGTTAAGCTAGCACATAGTAGGGGGTTCAAGAAATATTTTTTTAATCAATTTATTGGGGCTCATACAATTCATCACAATAC